CCCCCCCCCCGCCCCCGCTCTATTTTTTAAGTTGCTGAGCTTGGGGTTGGGAGAGAAAATGGAGAGAGGGACGGACACACAGACTCTGTCATAAAGCAAAAATTAACCCAACCTAAGATACGGGAATGAGTGAATTCTCCCTTCTTCCCACCCCTCCCCCCATTTCGATTAGAAGAGGAGAAAGAAAATCTCCCGCATTGGACTGAAACTGCAGGGAAGAATTATTACTGTATTTCTACCAAAGCTGGGGTAAAAAAAGAGTCCTTTGGAATTAATCCAAGGCTTCGATGTGTAATCATAAACTGGACAATTTAGGCAAAACAAAACCCTTAGGAGGAAAAAAAAAAAGCAGCCTAAATCTCACTACACTACGCCCTGGGAAGCAGTATTGGATTTGTGTTTATCCTTCCTCCCTTTGCCTTGTTTATTGCTGCAAGGAATTACTAGAATTCTCCTTTACTCTGCTAGTCTGAACACTGAAAAATTGAAAATCATTGTGTGGGGATGGTTGAGAGGAAGACGGGGGCTGCCTGTGTCTCTTTCTTTCTTTCTTTCTTTCTTTCTCAATAGGAAGAAAAGAGGGGACCTAGATAGATCAAGATATCTCTCCCTCCCCTCCCCCATCCTCTTGGATCAGTGCTGTTCTGACTCCATTTCTTTGAGAAAGTAGCTTTTGGAATTGGGTTCTGGTTTCGCTTTGGGCTAGAGGTGGATATGGAGAGAATGGGGGCCTTGGAGGTTCTGCCCCACAGATCAGGGTCTGAAGACTGGAATCCCCTTTTCCAACACACATTTCCCACCCACCCGTGCTAGGCGTTGTGGCTGCTGCTTGGGCCTGACCCGGGTTCCCAAGCCAGCCAACCGCATAGACACGTCAGTGCTTAGAAAACAAACTCGGCTGGCCGCACTGAACCATCCGGTTGGAGGGCCCGAAAATGTTCTGGCAGTCTGTGGAGAGCTCGTTTTTTGTTGTTGTTGTTGGAGTAAATAGTTATTCCTGATTGGTCAGGTGTAGGGTTCTTTTTAAAGGGGGGCTGGGGGGAGGCTTCAAGCACCTGCAAGTTGGGGGCAGAAAGCTGTTTGCAATTCCCTGGGCTGGTCGGCGAGGACATGAGGTAATTCCCAGCCATTGACCCCCATTTCTCTCTCTCCCTCCCTCTCGCCCTCCCTCTTTCTCTCCACCCCCATCTTTCCTGGAAACTCGCTTTGGGCGCGGCAGACTGCCCAGGACCACACCGTGGCCTAACTGCTGGTCTCTCAGCGAGAGAGGGGGAAAGCAAAGACCCCAGTCCACAACTTGGACCTTGGCTCCCGCCCCTCTCCGGCGGAGTGGAGATCCTATTCAGAGGGGCTTGTCTCTCTAAATATGCCCCAGGTGAGTTTTGGGGGAACAGTTATCGGTGGCAACAGTGTCCAGGAAGACCTTGGGTTCCGGCCTGGGGTGGGGGAGGCTCAGGACAGAGGCCAGTCCGGTCTCCGATTGGGTGAGGGGAGGACGAGCCCAGAGCTGGGAATCCGGGATCCGTGCCTCTGTGGTTTCTAGCGGGACCCTTTCTTTTTTCAATCCTGGGTAAAAACACCTAGCTGGACTTAGCCCCCACAGGCCGCTCCCATCAGTCCTGGTCCTGTGCTTGCTTCACAAGGCTCCTAACTCTGGGGCAGCTATTTCTGGGTGGTGCAGGCTGCGTGTGCCTGGGCCGCTGGCAGGAAGAAGGCCCAGCCATCCTGGCTAGTGCAGTCCCAACTCCGGTGGGCCTTGACCGGGGCCTGAGGCCTAGAGCGGAGCACAGCTGGAACACTCCTCCACTCTGGTAGTAGCAGGGAATACGGTTCTGTTCTCGCGAATGCAGCGCAGGCTTGGGGCTCCCCCGGGGGTTCGTTCGGGTGTGGGTGCAATATGAAGGGCAGGAAGCTAGCTCTTACCCCAGGTACCAGCGGAGGCTGTTTTCACATGAGAAATTTTCCCTGCCCGGAATTGGGAGCTGCGGAGACCCCGTTGCTGCCCCCCAGGAGCTCCTGGGATCCCTGCCTTGTTCAGACTCGAACGGAAACATTGCGGCCATCTGGCAACAGGAGATGAGGATCCGGTGTTGGGGGCTGCGAGCTGGTTCTGGGCCGCACAAAGACAGAGGAGTTGTAATGGTCAAAATAGTCTAGTTCGATTCTGTTCAAAAGCTTCTCCCCATTCCTTTGTCTTCCCCAAATAAAAACAAATGAACAAAGTAAAAATCACTCGGGCTTTCCTTTCAGTAATCTTAACCAAAGCCAAGTGATTGGGGTTAGTCTCCTACAACCAGAGGTGCTTATGAGTCCGCTGTTGGCTTCTTCTGGAGCATGGACCTTGGCATGGGTGATCCTGGTTGCAGAACAGCCTGCCGGGTTTTCCTAAGGTCCAGGGATGGGCGGGGAGAGGTCGGCCACAGACCCTGGGGGCCAATCAAAGGTTTCTCACGGGGAGCCTCCGAGATACAGATATTTATAGGCCTCTGGGGAGGGCATTTGGGGCCAGAGTCAACTCATCTGGAATATGTGCTCCTCTTGCCCCTTGGGGACCCGCGCCTACATGAAGCCTCAGAATTAATCAGAGGGTATAAATGTGTCATAAGGAGAGCTTGAACTCAGTCTGGTGATTGCAGTGTGCACCGTTGGTCACTCTGGTTAGAAGCTGGGGCTGAAGCACGTGTCACCGGGCACACAACGGTGTGTGGGGACAGTAAGGTAGGGAACCAGCACCTTGGGGGTTGTATATTTTGCCACAGGATGGTATATTACTGGTGCATTTCACTGCTGCAGGGGAGCCAGGAACACCAGACTGGTATACCTCTGGTGCATTTCTAGTGGCTGCAGTGTCTTGGCAGTCCCATTCTGTGGATACAGATCTATTGTTGCCGCCATAATCGTAAACTCATTTCCAATGAAGCCTTGTGAACCCACTGCTTTTGCAGCTCATGTACACCAGGTCTTGGGGAATTCTGTTGTCTCCAGGGCGAGCCCCTGGAGCTGGCAGACCCAGTGCAGAAGTGCAATTTGAATGACAATTCTCCATCAGCTTGTGTGTCTGGTGGCAATTTTGCTGAGCCCCGAAGAGGTTTCAGAAGGTCGTGTCTCTCTTCTGCAGCTGGAGGATATTTCCCAGGCCAACTCTTGTCCGGAGCGGTGCAGTGGCGGAATGGCTGCCGCGAGTGATTAGATGCCCTCTGGTTGGGGATGAATTGGATTTTTGTGTATTTTCTGCTATAAAATATCCCAACCATCTAATTCAGAGAGCAGAAATCTTCTTTTGGACATCTTATGAAGCCTGTTGGGTTGATTATATACGTATTTTATTAAAAGAACTCACAAGCATCCCCAAACTGCAGACCCAGAGTCTCATGGTTTTTTGGTTTTCATTCTTTCGGGAGCCTGGCTCTATTGGCATCGAAGCAGGGCGGTGGAAGGCCCCCAGTCAGTGTTAGTGGGGACTGGAGCCTCTGTGGTCACCCTGGTGTATGGTTGTGGAGAAAAGAAGGAGTGTCCTCAGCCCCAGGGATATACATGGGAGGGGGTACACAGGAGGATAGCTCAGACAGAGTGAGATAGAAGTTCTGGTCCCGCTCTGTGGCTCTATGGCCAATAGGTTCATGTGACCTTGGGCAAGGCATTCCCCTGGATGGTCCGGATAATGTTTACTTGAGCATTTGCAGGTGCTTTTAAATGCATAAATGAGGTATTGCCCCCATTTCCCAGAGGACAACACCACGGCAGGAGAGGGGGATGGAAGAGTTCAAGGGCCTTCGTGATACCTCTTCCTGCTCACAGATGGGAGCCTAGACCCCGGTGGCCTCAGGAGCATTCTGAATGCTGAGGCTCCATAGCCCTTCAGCCAAGCCTCCCTTCCAGACCCCACCTCACTTGAGTCCAGCTAGGCAGAAGGAGGTGGAGTGTGCGGGGGACGTAGGGCTAGGATCATTTTCTTCTTTCCCAGTGTCTCATCTCTGGTCTCGGTGGGAGTAAAGGGCCACCGGGGTTTCCAGCAGCTGCCCAGAATACACGGTGTATTTGCTTACTACAGACAGACAACCCCTGCAGGGGGGTGCATATGTGTTGAAAAGAGAGCAAGAAGCGCTGCCAGCTGTGGCACAGTGGACCCCAGGCCCTGTAGCCTCCATTCCCTGAATTTCCTACTTGCACCCCTCCCAGGTTTCTGGATGTTCCTGTGCGGGCGGCAGGCTGGGGGTGGGTATTGCTGAGGGTGGTTGGAAAAGCACCCCACCTCCGCGCCACAGTTTCCCCGCCAAAACCAAAAGGGGGGCGGGAAGAACATGGTCAGGGGATTTGTTCCCTCCTCTTCCCTTGCGGCCTGAGCAGGGGGACAAGATGGTATTTCTTTCTCGCCTCTTTCTACATTTCCTTCCTTTTCCCCCTTCTGTTTTCTTTCGCTGGCTGTATTCCTTTTCCTCCAATGCCTGTCGTGTTTTTCCATCTCTTCAGTCTCTGTGTCTCCCAGGCCCATCTCCCTTCTCCCAAACTAGAGCCCCCCCCTTTCTCCCTCCTGCCCCAGCCCCCCGCTGGGCCTTCAGGCCCCGGGGGAGGGCGTGTGTCCACGTGGCGCTAAGTTGGTCCGCCTCTTCCCACGTCTCGGTGCGAGAATTTCTCTGACCCCTGCACCCCCTTCACTCACCCCTCGGTGGGCTGGGGGCGGTTGTCAGAGCGGGCGTCCGCTTGTCTGTCTGTCTGCCCGCAGGATGACGGAGCGGCCGCCGAGCGAGGCGGCCCGCAGTGACCCCCCGCTAGAGGGACGGGACGCGGCCGAGGCCCGCATGGCCCCTCCGCACCTGGTCCTGCTGAACGGCGTCGCCAAGGAGACGAGCCGCGCGGCCCCCGCGGAGCCCCCGGTCATCGAGCTCGGCGCGCGCGGCGGTCCGGGGGGCGGCCCCGCCGGTGGGGGCGGCGCCGCGCGGGACTTAAAGGGCCGCGACGCGGCGGCGGCGGCCGAAGCGCGCCATCGGGTGCCCACCACCGAGCTGTGCAGACCTCCGGGGCCCGCGCCCGCCTCGGCCCCCGCGGAGCTGCCCGGCGACGGCCGCATGGTGCAGCTGAGCCCACCCGCGCTGGCGGCCCCAGCCGCCCCCGGTCGCGCGCTGCTCTACAGCCTCAGCCAGCCGCTGGCCTCGCTCGGCAGGTCAGGGCCGCGGCGGGAGGGGACGGGGTGGGGGGGCGGCACCCCGGGAAGCATCCTGCCGGGGCGCCCCTTGTGCCCCTCGGAGCGACCGCGCTTAGCGGCAGGAGCGCAGGAAGGGAAGGGAGTAGTAGACCCGAGGGCGGAAAAGTCTGCTCGCTGGAGCCCGTGCGCGAGCAGACGGGAGCCCTTTGTGGGAGTGTGCGTGTGCGCGGGGCCGGGGGTGGCGTGCCCCGTGCGTGTGCGGCCTGCATGGGTGTGCGTGAGCCCGCGAGGGGTCCACGTCTTCGGGCGTGCAGGCATGTGGCCGGCAGTGAGTGGAAGCGCGCTGGCTGTGCTGGGTGTTGGTAGTGTGTGCGTGCGTGGTAGCTAGTGGCCCGAAGGGAGCCGCTGGAGTGTGAGTACCGGGCAAGAATGTGTCTGAATGCGCTCCGCTGTGAGATTCTTCTGGAAACTGCAGCCTTCAGTGGACAGGTAAGAGATACGGAGCTGATGGTCGTTGCAAGAGGGTTCCCTCTTCGGAAACTGCTTCAGGGCGCATCTGGGGAGTGGATCCCTCCCTCTCCTCCTGAGCCCCTCCTGAGCCTCTCTGCCCCTCGGCCGGGCTGGGCAGGGCGGCGGTGGGGGGGGGGGGCGGTGCGCGGTGTATACCCCTCTCGGTGTGATGTGAGGGTGTCCATTTTCCTGCTGGGGCCACTGAGATGGCGGGGAGATAGAGGTAGAGGTTGCGCGCAGACAGGAAGATGAGGCAGGGGTTGATAATATGGGCCAGTTATTGAGTTTGTGGGAGACCCCAAGAAAGAAGCCATGGAAAGCACAGAGTGGGTGATGGGGGGGGCATGTAAACAGTGGTGAGTCAAGGTTTCCTTTCTGTTGAATGTCGGCGGCCCCCATGGGACCCCCGATGAAGGTGGGGCGATCTGGGGGGAAAGGGATGGTGTGCCTTGTGAGGGGCTAGAGTTGCACAGCACACAAGGTATGAAGGCCACATCTGCCTGTATGAGTACCTGTTTGGGAGGGGAGGTGTCTGGGGATCCTGTGCTTGTACCGGGAAGGGGAGTATGCCTGCCTGTGAGTTGCATGTGTGTTCATTATTGCATTTGTTCCATGTGTTCACTTATCATTTGTGTGGGGGGAGGGGTGTGTGGGAGTGTGGTCCCTCCTCCCCTTGCTTGTCTCACCGGGGAGAGAGGGTGGGAGCATTCTGTGAGTGTGTTTGGGTGTGTGTGTGATGCTCTTTCTATTCCAAACTCAGGTGTGAAGGGAGCAGGAGCCCCCTTGTTTTCCCAAGGGTGGTGGGAGGCTCAAGAACACGTGGGGAGGATCGCTGAGGAGGCTTTCTCCCCTCCACCTACGTGTGATCTTGTGATCTGCCTGCTCCCTCCCACAGTGGGTTCTTTGGGGAGCCAGATGCCTTCCCTATGTTCGCCACCAACAACCGAGTGAAGAGGAGGCCCTCCCCTTATGAGATGGAGATTACTGATGGTGAGTCTACCTGCTTCCACCTTTGTGTCATCCCTCATGCTCCTTAGAGCCCCTTGAAGGTGGGATCCTTGGGCACTACTCCATGGGTGTCTCACATAGCTGGGTTGGCTGCCTTGGAACCCGAGTCTGCCAGAATCCTCACCCTGCAACTAGACCTGGGACTAGGGAAAGTCATGGGTGGGGCTGGGGGCCACCCTCATGGTCCTGGGAAGAGGGAAGTGGTGCTGAGGACACACTGAGGCATTTAGCCCAAACCCCTGGAGTCAGTTGTAGTCCCCACTGTAGCTCCGTTCCAACCCCTGGCAAGAATCGCAGGCGGAGGGCAGAACACGTGGTGCTCCCTGCCTCTAAGCGCTGCCCCTCAGGGATTTCGTGCACCTCCCAAGTCCTTTTTGGAGTCTGGAGTCTGCTCCCTGCCTGGAATTGCACATTTAAGGGCCTTGTCCCAGGACCCTATGTTGTGGGGCCATCTCGTCTCCGTTCCACACCCAGAGCTGAGAACTGGAGTTCCCTTCCTGACATCCTAGATTCCCCGAGAAGGTCCTTGGCACTACTACAGTGAACTACCCGAGTAATCTTTGGCACTTAACTTGGGGGAAGGGGTTGGATGAATGGGAAATTTGGAGTATCCCCTCCCTCTCCCCAGTGTTGATCTGATGCAGTAGATGGGACCCAACACCAGGGGGCAGGAGAGCAGGCTCTTCCAGAGCCCAGGACTTGGAGCCAATCCCTGGAGCCTCCAGTGCTTCAGCCTGGCTGGGGCCTGGGGCTCCAGTAGGAAGGGCACCTGAGGCCTTGAAGCCACACTGGGTTTATTCAAGGAGCCAGTAAGAGGGATATGTATTGAGCTGGAGCTTCTGGAGAGGAGTCCTCTGTGGTGTTCTGGAGGGGAGGGGGCCTAGAGTCTGGACAAGGAACAGGCCTCATAAGACCTGATCAGCCTGGGATATGGGGTGTAGGTCCAAGAGGGAAGGGTGATGACGTGTCAGTGCTGTTAGGTTAGAGAGGGGAGGTGGGTATACCAAACAGGAAATAGGCAGAACCAGTCCCGAAGTTCCCCAGGGAAGAGGCATTTTCTGCAGAGGGCAGAAGCAGCGACAATCAGGCATAAAAGAGAGGAAGGAGGAGAGGGGCAAGAGGGTGAGGATTTGGGGGGAGCACAGACGTATAGGGAAACCATTACTTATAAATGTCACTAACATTTACTGAGCACCTACTCAGTACCTGGCCACGGAGAGTCAGAGGGTGCAGAGGGATGGACAGACTGGGGGAAGAGGAGGGTGTGGAGAGGTGGGAGGTTCTCTGGGAAGGTGCCAGCAAGGAAGAGGCAGAAATGGAGGTGAGAGGAGGGTATGTGTGTGGGGGTGCAGAATCTGTCCATGAGACTTGGAAGTCAAAGGTATAACCAGAAAGAGTCCAAAGAAGTGGAACTAATTCGAGGTGTAAAGTCGGGACTTGATGTGGATTCCTACTGCTGAACTTTTCTGGCACTCAGTTTCCTCATTTGTGAAGTGGGGAGAGTAATTGCTTCCTTACAGATTGCTGAAAGAGTACAATGGGGTAAAGTGTTTTTAGGGCCTGGCTCAGGGTAGGTGCTCCTTCTGGAGTTCTGTCTAGCTGTAGCTGTGACAGCACTTATAATGCCCCCTCCTCACCTAGGAGCTCCCTAAAGATCAGTCAGCATTACCATGGAGCAGGGACGGTCTTCTCTATGTCACAGCTGAGGGACACCCCTCTGTCTGGCCTGGAGGCCAAAGAACATGGAGTTATTTCCTCCGCAGCAGCCCAGGGTAGGACTGCCAGCACAGTGCTGTTTTTCCCAGCTTGGGTCTGGCCTTTGGCGAAGAGTGCATTGGGCTGGGGCCTGTTGGGGTTTAGAAAGACAGCTTTCAGAGGCACAGTGGGCAGGGAGTGAATGATCCGCTCTGAGAGAATATCGTGTGTGTGCATGTGTGTATACGTGTGTATGTGTGTGTGCACGTGCATGTAAGAGAGACAGATGATGAAGCTAGAAGTGCTGGCATGGATGAGCTGTCCCAGCCTCAGTCTCAGTGGAATGAGCAGTGGGTCTTAGGTGATGCCTTGACCCTTCCTCTCCTCGTCTTCCCTACTCAAGTTTCCACATTCTGAGGTCTGGTTCTAGGGGTCATCAAAGAGGGCAAACAAATATCCCAGGACTGGGAGTTCCTTCAGTGCACAGAGCTTCCTGATGACTGCTGGGAGCTTGGCTGTGTGCCTCAGTGTTGGGGAGGGAAGCGGTCACCTCAGCCCAGGAGGTCAGGAACACTTGCAGGGCCCTGTTCTATTTTCTCTGCTTTGGGCATCCCAGGTCAGGCTTGGATATTTTGTGCAGTGCTTTGAACATCATAGGTGCTCAATACATGCACGCTGGTGTCTGCTACTGCTCCACAAGTCTTAGTGTGTGAATATAGTCTGAAATTGGTCTAGTCTGTAATCAGTGCATTGTAGACATGGAGAGACTGAGGCAGCCCCCAGACACCTGCTCAGAGCCTCAGGCCGTGCCTGTGCATGGCTGTCTCTCCACTCCTCTCCTGGGGGAGAGAGCCCACAGGGTAGGTGGGCCCTTTTCCCTCTTGTCTCTGCTCTCTACTCCATTCCCCCTCCTGCCAGCATGATCAGTTAGCAAACATTTACCAAACCCCTGCTCTGGGTTTTCCATCACCCTTAGTATAAAGTCCCCACCCTGACTGCAGGGACTTATGGGGCCTAGATTCAGCCTACTCTGATCACAACCACACTGATTAGCCAGGCTGGCTTCAGCCATTTTCCAGCTCAGGGCCTTTGCCATACCATTCCCTCTTCCCTTCCTGTGGCTGCTGGCTCTTGTTTAGCCTTAAGTTCTTACCTTCTAGATGTCACTTTTCTCCAGTATGCCATCCCCAACCACCTCAGCTAAATGTAGTGGCTCCTTTCCATATTTTATTACATTCCACTTCCTGTTCATTTGTTATTTGTTTGTACTTGTTCATCATCTGTCATCACCATTAAAATGGAAGTTCCGTGAGGGCAGGGACCCTGTCTGTTTTGTTCATCATGTTCCTTGGTGCCTGGTTGTTAGTAAATAACTGATGGTTGGATGATAATAGCTGACATTTATTGAATGTTTTACCTGAGGCAGGTATTGCCTTAAGGACTTTACCTGTGTTCGTTGTTAGATCCATATGACAACCTTGTGACTTCAGTTGCTAGTATTACCTCCATTTTACAGATGATGAAGCTAAAGCACGGGGAGTTTAAGTAACTTGCCCAGTCACTCTCTAGTGAGTAATAGTCAGGAATCATCCCGGAAAGTCTGGCTCCAGAGTTTGTCTTTCTGACTAATGTGGTATGGCCTCTTGGCACAATGAATGAATGAATGAATGAATGAATGAATGACAAATGGTCCCTGTCCTCAAATGTTTCACAGCCCAGACAGGGCAACAAGCATAGACACATACAGCAATGATCAAAAGTAATGGAGATCAGGCAGTTGGAGGGCCATGATGGTTGGTGAGGTCTGTCCCAAGGGGTGGAGGGAAATCCTCAGAGAGGAGGAAACAGATGAACTGGGCTTTACAAGCTGAATAGGAGTTTTCTAAGTAAAAGGTAAGGGAAGGCGTTCTGGGTTTCCCCAGTTTCCCAATGACTGGTTTCTCTTCTTCCCCACAGGAGAAGGTGCCTTGGGGCACCTCCATTTCACCGTTTTAACTCTTGTCCCCCTACCTCCAGGTCCTCACACCAAAGTCGTGCGACGCATCTTCACCAACAGCCGAGAAAGATGGCGGCAGCAGAATGTGAACGGGGCCTTTGCTGAGCTCCGCAAGCTGATCCCCACACATCCCCCAGACAAGAAGCTCAGCAAGAATGAGATCCTCCGCTTGGCCATGAAGTACATCAACTTCCTGGCCAAGCTGCTCAATGACCAGGAGGAGGAGGGTACCCAACGGGCCAAGCCTGGCAAGGACCCCGTGGTGGGGGCTGGTGGAGGAGGCGGTGGGGGAGGGGGCGGTGCACCTGCAGACGACCTGCTGCAGGACGTGCTCTCCCCCAACTCCAGCTGTGGCAGCTCTCTGGATGGGGCCGCCAGCCCGGACAGCTACACAGAAGAGCCGGCACCCAAGCACACGGCCCGCAGCCTCCATCCTGCCATGCTGCCAGCCGCTGATGGAGCAGGTCCTCGGTGATGGGGCCAGGGCCACTCAGGACCGGCCAGGAGGGCAGCCTCAGGCTGCTGGGACCGTGGGCTTCGGGGCAGGTGGGGTGAGGATTGGGCAGCTCTGAAGCAGGGCAGTGGACTTGATGAGCCTTCCTTGATGTCTGAACTTTGGGAAGTCTTAACTGCCCCAGCTGGCTTTCCTGTTTCCTGACTCAGTGGTAGAACAGAAAAATGGAGCAAAGTGGTAGGTACTTTTTATGAAGACGGCACGGTCTTCCCCTCCCCCAAATCCCTAAGACTTTAAAGTAAAGAGCTCAACTGGCACTGCTTTTGGCCTGGAGCTTGGGACCCCCGTCTTTGCTGAGACTTGGGGTTGTCGGCTCTCCCCTGGGGCATCCAGCAGCCTCTGCCTTGCCTTCAGCACCACCCCCC